GACTTATAACATTTTTTTTGTATTTTTTCTTGTGGTGTGTTTGGAGACACGAATTAAGCAGGCAGGTATTTGAACAACAGTAATTTTTTATTTTATTTTTTATTTGAACTTTTAAAAGTAGTTAATTTATGTATGTACCATATGATTATGTATGCATATATGTATGTTATTAAAAGGATGTTACTTGCGGTTAATATTTTTCGCGGCAAAGTTTTAAAGCCCAAAAATTTTGTATTTAAATTATAGGTATTTGCACATATGTATGTATGTATTTCTGTAATATATATGAGTTTTTGTTAGCCTTTGCTTATGTGTTATAAGCGAACCTGCTTGTTGCTTTATTAGCCTAAGGGGTACCGCTGAAAATATCGCAATTAGGAATACTTTTGTGTTTGGAGACACGAAATAAGCTGAGGCAGGTACCATATAATATATATATATACATATATATATATATTTTTTCCTTTTTCAGTTATATCGTTCGGTTATTTATTTCCATCGAAATACCGATAAAACTGTAAACAAACATACATATGTACATATGCGCATAAAATGTTCCTATTTGCAAATTTAATCGGAATGGACTCACTTTTTTTCAGCCAATGGTTTATGGGTAGCAATACTTCCTTTCTCTTCTCTTTTTATTATGGGTTTTTTGTTCTTGTCTACGGCGTTTTTCCTGTGCGTTACAGTCCTCCTCTCTGCGTGCTTGTTAGGGTACTCTCCGGTGGCTTATGTAGATTTTTTTTTTGTTTTAAGTAATTGTAAGTTTGGTTGTTTCACTTATGTGGTATTGTATCGCGCCCGCTTTTTATTTTTCGGTCTGTTTTTTTTTTTTTTGTTTATATTTTAGTTGGTTTCGCGCCCGTTTGTTGTAATTTAACTTAACCACTTAACCACTTAGTATAGTATGTATATTAGTACTTATGTTTTGAAAAGATTTCACTTTATTATTTCTCTTTTTTTTTTCTTGATAGGTGCCTTTCAAGGAGGCTCGAAGCACCATTTAGTTACTCACTTTGTTTGCTTTATTCTTTCAGAAATACAATTTCACTTATATATAATATAATATTTTGAATTTTTTAATGTTAAATACACTTCATCCCGATGAGATATAGAATCCCACTTTTCCTTATATATTATATAATATTTTGAATTTTTTAATGTTAAATACACTTTATCCCGATTAGATATAGAATCCCACTTTTATACACTATAACACTTTAAATTGTTCAACGTTAAAAAAAACTTGAGTTTGGGCACTTCCGGACAACTGCGCTGCTACGGTTTTTTTTCTTTTCGAACGGGTGTCGAGAAAACAGAAAGAGACCATTCTGGTCTGAACAATCCTTTTTGTTTCTTTGGATGGTGAATAAGATGATGATGGAAGTGTCGGTGTATAGTGTGGTGGGTTAGTTGTACAAGTATATGGTTGTGTTGGTGGGTGATATGGTGTGTTGTAGGTGGTGTATGATGTTGCATTGTGTTATGTTGTGTTGTATGATGTTGTACGGTGGTTGTGAGCTTAGTTGTAAAAATGTCGCGGGATTAGAAGTCGCATGAACAATGGGTATAGACTAAGACTCGTATTCAACCCTAAAGTCTGCAGGTGGCAGAGCTCACCTACTATTCTCCACCGTCCACCTTAGGATTGGCCACCGGCAGGTTGTTACAGCACCTTCTCCGGAGAGTTGCCCCCCTAACGTTGCCCGCTCTGAGAAGCGTGTGCGAGGAGGCCATGGCATTAAGTGCGCAGAAGATGGGTGCTTTGAAAATAGCTGAAATCAATATATTTACATATATGTGAAAAAAATTAAAAAAATAAAGTTTACTTCACTTTACTATAAAAAATATTTAACCACCTACTCCTAAAAACCTAATCTACCTACAAGTGGGAAACGCATAATATTTTCGACTTAAAATTATAAATGCTAGGGCTTCTATTATAGAATTTAATTAAAAAGAAGAAGAATTCTTATTCTTAAAATGTTAATGTTAAATCAGTGCTGCTGTTATCACAACAGGAATAGGGTCTGACACTTCTTAATTTATCAAATAAAATCTTCCCTACACCTATTCTACGACAAATCGAATCAAGTTCCTTTCGGTCTTATCAAACTACACCTGTCAATTTATCTGCTCCTATATATGGAAAGGGTTGGGAGGAATCGTGTGTCTTATATATCTGTATACGAGTATGTACATACATAAGTGGGATGTCCACAATAATGTTTGATTTATTTACTTTCCATAAAATTATATAATCCTTCAAAAAAAACCAAAAAAAAAAAAATGTGGCAATCACAAATGCAACTCTGTAAGAGTTATTTATAAAGCAGATATGCCAACATTCAACCTAGACTATCTGCGTGGAAGTTGCTAAAGTATCCATCAAAATTCCACCATTCTGGCACGCAAAGCCAGCACTTTGGATCGCACAAGTGGAGTCAGAATTTAATGCCGCAGGGATAACGAGCGACAAGACCAAGTATCACACTGTCGTGGCCGCAATAGAAAGCAACGTGCTAGCACAAATAAGTGACATTATTCTTAATCCACCGAACAGCGACATGTACCCAACACTAAAAAATCGCATAATTACGCAATTCGCAGACTCCGAGCAAAAACGTGTAAAGAAGCTACTTCAAGAACAAGAGCTTGGTGACGTTCGTCCATCACAACTCTTGCGCGAGATGCGTAGTAGCTCTGCTCGCAGATAAAATAAGTGAGGTTAGCGACACACCACATATACACCCAACACACAGCCACACACGCGCAATTCAGCATCGAGCAACAACTGGCTGAGATCACAAAAGAAATCGCCTCGATAAAAGCAAACATAAATCGTCGATATAGAAGTCGAAGCAGGAACGGTGCTCCGTCACGCTCCGGCAACAACAGCTTGATCGATTTGTGTTGGTACCACCTAAAATTCGGTAACGAAGCTAAAAAATGTCGCAGCCCTTGCACAAGAAAGTTAAACTAATAAGTCTGTCATCAATGGACGACAGGCTCAACAACGCAAACCGCCGCTTAATAGTTCGAGATAAGGTATCTGCAATAAAATTTCACACCGACACGGGAGCCAAAGTCAGCGTAATTCTACCGACGTAACAACAACGTAGATATCCTGACAAAACTACCTCTACGCAGCAAACAGGTCCACGATAAAACTTACGGTGAAATAGTCATGCATGTTAAATTGGGTCTACGCCGCCAATTTTCCTGGAATTTCATAGTTGCCGACATATCACAAGCCATCATCGGAGCGGATTTTTTATCGCATTTTAACTTATCGGTCAACCTACGACAACGAAAACTCATCGACGACATCACAAGCGTTAGCACACATTGTTCAGTGTCAACTAAGAATGAAGTAGTATAGAATTTATCATGCATTAACAAAAATCAACCGTTCCAGGATTTGCTGAGAGAATTTAAAGACATCACGGTAGAAAATTTCACGATCAATAAACTACAACACCTGGTCACACATCACATCGTCACCAAAGAGCCACCAGTTTTCTCAAAACCTAGACGCTTATCATCTGAGAAACTAAAAGCAGCAAAAGCCAAGATACAATTCATGCTAGATGCAGGCATTTGTCGTCCATCTCGCAGCCCATAGGCCAGCCCATTACACATGGCGAAAAAGAAAAACGGCGAGTGGAGGCCATGCGGGGATTTCAGGCGACTAAGGCGACAGGTACCCCCTTCCACACTTGCACGACTTCACGCACTCACTTTTGATATTGTCAAAGGATATGAACCAACATCGTCAACATCTGCAATTAGTGTTCGAAAACTGCGCGAGTACGGTTTGGTCATCAACCATTCGAAGTGTATACTAGTCCAGCCGGAAGTGAATTTCTTAGGTTTCAAGATAAACAGCAGCGGAATCTCACTAGCAGAAGAACGAGTGCATGCCATTAAAAATTTTAAACTACCTACTAGAGCATGTGACTTGTGACATCGGCATGGTAAACTTTTTCCGCAGATTTTTGCCTTTCGCCGCCGAAAGGCAAATGACGTTATTCAAACTCGTGAAAGGTTATAAGAAAAACGACACAACAGCAGTAGAATGGACGGACGAAGCAAAAGAGGCATTCCAGCAGTGTAAAAACGATTTATGTAAAGCAACTTTACTCGCCTATCCTAAACCCGAGGCTCAACTCAGTTTGACAGTGGATCCTTCCGGAACTGCTGTAGGTGCGGTATTACAACAACATGACAACGACCAGGCAACCACTAGGTTTTTATTCCGAACGCCTTACCGAAACACAAACGAGATACATCACTTACGATCGTGAACTGCTAGCGGCGTACAAAGCAGTCAAATATTTTCAACATATGCTGGAAGGCAAAGAATTTATCATCCTCACTGACCACGAGCCATTGCAATATGTGCTCCAGCAAAAGCTAGATAAAGCATCGCCGCGTCAAATGCGCCATTCTGAATTTATAGCACAATTTACAAAAGACATTCGATACATCCCCGGAAAAGACAACATAATAGCAGATACAATGTCACGCATTGACGCCATACATACTCCAAACACTATCGACTTCGCCGAACTTGCAAAGACTCAAAAATCTGACTCAGAGTTTAAAGAATTACTTAATTCGAATTCCAACTTACAAATTAGGCCTTTCATGGTTCCAGGCACAGACATTGAAATCTTTTGAGATGTAAGCACCAGCAAAGCCCGACCATACTTAACTCCTTCGTTACGCAAAACAGCTTTCGACTCCATACATAACATGGCACACATCGGCGTCTCCAAAACCACAAAATTGATCGCAGAGAAGTTTGTGTGGCCTGGTCTGTGAAAAGATTACCGCTTATGGTACAGGCAGTGATAAAATGCCACATGACGGACAAGTGGGTTGAAGTTCTCCCTCTAATTCTCTTAGGCTTTCGTTCCGCATGGAGAGATGGCTTAAAAGCGACACCAGCAGAAATAGTTACGGCAACACTCTCACTCAGCTATTTTCCGAAGATCGCACGCACAACGTCACCGAAAGTGAATTTGTCGGAAATTTACGCATACGCATGCAGACACTGAGACCGTCACCAACAACAAATAACTCAGCACATGTACCATTCGTGGAAAAGAATCGGCACACAACACCATCAGTTTTCGTGCGCAATGACGCAATTCGCCAGCCGCTTCAACCACCGTACAAGGGGCCATTTCCAGTAGTCAAACGCATCGACAAGTTTTTCAAAGTCAAAATCCGGGGAAAAGACGTGAACATCTCCATCGACCGGTTAAAATCAGCCTTCATCGCCGAGGATAGCCAAAATCCGTCGAATCAAACAACTCAGCCAAAAGAGTACCAGACAAAATCGGGGGAGTGATGTGGCAATCACAAATGCAACTCTGCAAAAGTTATTTATAAAGCAGATATGCCAACATTCAACCTAGACTATCTGTCATGCTGACGTACCTTTATCTTCCCTTTTCATCACGCATCGTCCAGCTGTAAGCATGTCATCACTATTTTTATATGTAATCACATTATATCATTTTTTGGAAAGTAAATAAATCGAAAATTATTGTGGACATTCCACACATGTTATATATAAAAGTGAGTCGTGGTAGTTACACTGTTTATAACTTAAGAACGGTTTAACCGATTTGCAGAAAATACATCACAAAGAAAACTTTATTAATTGAGACTATATTCCAGAAAGTAAAAATTAATTGTTTGGATCATAACTGGCTTGTTCAACGGGCTATATTAGCGACCAAAATATAGAAGCTGATGAAATTAATTTTCAGTTACAACAGTTTTCAACAATCTATCAGATGTATTTCAAGTTATCAAATGAATTTTAGATCATTCGGTATTGTTGTTGATGAAAATGAAAACGTAAATCATCTAGATATCTAATGTTCATAATTAAAAATGTTATATATTCTATTATTATTAAAAATTTAGAATGACTTTTAATCATAAATACAATTTTACTGTATTGAATAGTTTATAATTAATCTAGTTTTAAATGTAAATAACCGCAGAAATATGCAAATACGTTTTCTTTTAAAAAATCTACTACGAAATCTAACTCTGAAATTTTTCCTACTGCTATCCGATTAAAGATATGGCCTCGTCGTGGTAGACCTTGAAATTCTTGCAAGGAAAGATCCTGTACCCCTCTGTCATTGCACACACTTGCTAAACACTTGAAATTGGCGTATCTTAATCCCAAGATTTTTTGAAGAGGTTTCAAAACATGTAAGATGTAATCCTTACGCTTCTCCACCTCTTGTGTGACAAAAACCGCCACAAACGTTTTAAACTACTAATATTTAAAATTCAAACCTTTAATATAATATAATTGAAAGAATTTGTTATGTCCGATCCATTTTCGTCTTCTACTCTAATTGTCTTTAAAACTCTTAGGTCCTCATCTAAAAATTTTAACTGGTCTTAACTTAATATACTAACTATAATGAAGCGAGCGTACCAGAGGCTACGCTATCGCCATAACCTGGGACGCTAGCTTTACACACATTTTTTGCAAGCTATTTGGAAACATACATATGTTCTTCAGACAGCTTGGGAGCACAACGCACGGGATTTTGGGAATTCTTATTATAAAATTTATTTATTATAAATATTATTTTATTTTTTGAATTTTCTAAACAATTCCTAGTGCTTTTTAAAGGGTGGGGCTACCAAAAAAAAGAATATACAAGTATCCTTGCCATTGACCTGAAAATATAGGCGCTTTTCTGGCACTCCTAAAATTCTAGATAAATACACAAAGTTAGATCCCTGGTCTGAAACATAATGCCAAGGTATTAGACCTATGTTTTGTATTTGGGGATGGCCTCAAATACTCGTAGATATTTTTTGACAGCATCCCCTTTACATGATCTATGGACAATGAAATAGAAGAGTGGGTGTGACCAAGACATTCCACCAATACCTTGATCCATAAGAGTCATTGCGCTAATACTTATTCGCGACGTACGATTTTCATCGCCGTAATCTTCTACTCCTATAATTTTATCGTATTAAGGAACCTATTGGTAATGACTCTTAAGTGCCATTTCGTCACAAAAAATCAACACGAACTGTTGATCTGGCGTGAAACTCCGACTTCTTAACTCTAAACACTTTAAGGAACTATTACAACAACCGGCGTCTCGGGGTCATTCGGAAACGAACTTGTCAAGAGTTCTCTCTTCTGGAAATCTAAGAAGAGGCTTTAGGTGTCTATATGCTAAAGGTGAAAGAAAATATACACCTAAAACCAAAGTTTTGAAATAATTGTCGAATTAGGCTCCTCAAATTCTACCTGAAAACTGGGTGTAGGAGTTAAATTTATGTCTGCGACCGCAGTTGGCAACAGTTTTTTCAAATATTTTACTTTATCTGAGAAGTGGCGGTCACAGGTTTTCTCTTATGCCCAAACGTTGTATCCAAACAGTATACCTAAAGACAAAAAAATATACCCTTAACCTTAATACCTTTAGTTATAAAATTTTAATTCAAAATAAAACAAGAAAAAACGTTAACTTCGGTTGCACCGAATCTTTCACAAATGCAAAAGGCTCCTTAAAAGAACTTGATTCCGATCATTCAGCTTGTATGACAGCAATATGCTATAGTGCAGGGTAGGCGAACCAATGGCACGCGACACAATATTTTGGGCACGTCGCAGAATTAGGTATTTTAAGACGATCGAACGCGATGCTCCTACGCTGCGGAGTGTACGGTGCGCGGGATGGGGGCAGCGCGGCGGCAGGCAGGAAGCGCTGCACGGCGCTAGTTTTTTTTGTTTTTATAATGCCGTGGGTTTCAATTGCGAATGACGCATTGTTTGCTTACGCATAAAGTAATAGTGAGTTTTGTTGACATAATTGTATTGTAAAGTTTATTCGAGTGATTTTAAACTGATATTAAATATTTTTCTTATTATTATTAAATTTTAATATGGCCAACTCAGCAAAAAAACAAAAAGTTCATGATACTAAGTTTAACAGAGAATTTCAAACTTGGTGGACTGAGAAATATGGCATGATTAGTAAAGGTGACAAAGCGGTGTGTGTTTTATGTTCTGGAACAGTGGTATGTAGAACATCGTCTGTTAAACGACATTTTGAAACAAATCATAAATCTGTTAGTCAAAAAAGCGAGGCAGAACAAAAAGAATTAATTGCAAGTGCATTGAATGACAGAAATAAACAGTCAACGTCTATGATTAAATTTGTTGGCAAAAATTGTAATACAAGCGCGGCAAGTTACGCGGCGGCAAATGTCATTGCTCGGCATGGTAAACCTTTTCAAGAAGGTGAGTTTTTGAAGGAAGCCTGGTTAGCATGCGCGCCTTCTCTTTTTGAAGATTTCGACAATAAAGATAAGATAATTCAGCGCATCAAAGATACTCCTCTATCAAGAAACACAATAAAAGAAAGAATCTTAAAACTGGCCGAAAATATAACAGATCAACAAAAAATTGACATTAAAGATGCTTCTTTTATATCGCTATGTCTTGACGAAAGCACTGACGTCACTAAATCTGCACGTTTAGCTGTTTTTGCTCGGTATTACGTACAAAACGTCATTAAGGAAGAATTAATTGCAGTAAAATCGTTGCTAACAACTACAAAGGGAACAGATATAAGTACGGCAGTTAAAAATTCGCTTGCTGAAAAAGAAATTGATATAAAAAAAATTGTTTCTGTAACAACTGATGGTGCTCCAAGTATGGTGGGTAAAAAAACGGTTTCATAAGTTTATTTCAAGCTGACGTAGGACATTCGATTCTTGAATTCCACTGCATCATTCACCAACAAGTCTTGTGTGCTAAGAGTGGTTTAATATCCCTTGATAATGTAATGGGGGTAGTTACAAATATAGTCAACCTCATCTCGTCACAGGCTTTAAACAAGGGAAAATTCGATGCTTTGTTGGACGAAGTCAACTCGGTGTATAATGGCTTACTGATGTATAATAGTGTTCGCTGGTTGAGTCGCGGGAATGTACTTGAAAGATTTGTTGATTGCTTGGAAGAAATCAGACTGTTTTTGCAAAATGAGGGAAAAATTGAACAATACCCACAGTTATTGGACGTTATGTGGCTTTCAAAATTGATGTTTTTTTACAGACATATGCCAACATTTAAACACATTAAACGTAAAGCTTCAAGGGACAAACAAAACAATTATTGCCATCATAGATCTCGTTCGCGCTTTTGAGGCAAAGCTGCAAGTTTTTAGAAACGATATTATCACAAGAAACTACAAGTATTTTCCAAACTTGAAAAAATATATGAATGATTTAGATATTCACGAGACAGCAGACAAAGAAAAAATTACTGAAGAATTTATTTCTGTGATCGATTCTTTCAGTTCAAATAATTGTCGGAAATACTCAAGTTCATTATGTACCCAGATGTGACGTCATTTCATAAACTGAACTTCTCTCAATTTGATTGGTTGGAAATTGAAGAATTTGAAATGCAGCTGATTGATTTCCAATCTAGTTCAATATGGATTCAAAAATTTGTTGAAACAAGGAAAGAGTTGGAATTAATTGAAACTGAAAGATCGACAAGTAATTTAAGTAAAAATGCTAATAATAAAATTCTGGAAACATGGAATGCGTTACCAGACACATTTAACTGTTTGAAGAAGCTGGCTCATGCTATTTTAACCATGTTTTCATCTACATATGCCTGCGAGTCATTATTTTCAGAGATGAATAACATTAAAAACTCGGTGAAAAACCGTTTGACAGATGAATCTAGTTCAGCATGCATTTTGCTAAAAGTAACATCTTACAACCCTAACATAAATTATTTGTCATCTAACCTGCAGCAACAGAAGTCACACTATATTTACTGAAATTTAATATAAACATACCAAAATGTACCTCTTTTGCATACTTTATTTAATAAAGAGTTTTGATAGTATTTATAATTTTTATTTTCCCAATAATCAGAAAGTCAAAATTATTTGATGGCACGCGAATGACCCCATTAAACTTTTTTTTAGAAAAAATGGCACGTTGATGCATAAAGGTTCGCATACCCTGCTATAGTGATTCGAGATGAACAATTTCTGCGGAGATTCTCTTATTGCCTTGGATTAATCCGTTCCAAATTTCGTGAAGATATCTCGTCAAATAAAAAAGTTTACCATGCAAGCACTTGATTCCGATCGTTCAGTTTGTACGGCAGCTATATGCAATAGTAATTCGATCTAAACAATTTCTTCTTTAATTAAGATATCTCATAAAAAAGTCAAATAAAAAAGTTTTTCATTCAAGAACTTAATTCCAATTAATCGGCCATTCAGACAAATGAGCAGCTTCTTGGTAAGAAAAGGTTATATGCTAAACTTA